ACAGCTTTAAAGGTTTTTTCTACATACCTTGAGGTAGCAGGAGCATCCCACAGGAGTGTGGGGGGGCCCTCCACATGCTTGGCAGCGAACCCAGAAGTGGACTGGAAGTGCTTCTGGTCCACTTCCAGGTCTGCCAGGGAGCATGCAGGGTGTGGTCCTCACATCCCCCCAGCTCGGCGATCAGTCGCAGGGGGACCCCGGATGCAACCCCCAAACCCAGGAGGCACCAGTCACTGAGATAAGGATGTGCGGGGGGGGGTGGGGAGTGTTGTTTGCCCTGCTGGCTACAGCATCACACTGACAGCTCATGTTCATACTATGGTCTATTATTACCCCTAGGTCCCTTTCAGTCATGGTGCTAGGCAGTTTGGCGCCACTGAGCTTGAAAGTATGTTGGGCATTGTTTGTCCCCAGATGGAGCACTTTACACTTCTCAATGTTGAACTTCATCTGGTTCTGGTCCGCCCAACTTGCAAGCCTGTCTAGGTCCGCCTGTATCTTCAGCCTGTCTTCAAGTATGACCACGCTTCCCCATAACTTGATGTCATCTGTTAACTTGGCTAGTGAGCTCTTCACCCCCACATCCAAATCATTGATAAAGACATCAAAAAGCACTGGATCAAGCATGGACCCCTGAGGGACACCACTGGCCACTTCTTGCCAGGATGACACAGATCCATTCATTAGAACTCTCTGGGTCCTACCCTGCAGCCAGCTTGCTACGCACCTAACTGTTGAGCAGTTAGGCCCGCAATCCTCCAGTTTTCCCATGGAAACATCATGGAACACCAGATCAAAGGCCTTTTGGCAGTCTAGGTATACAATGTCAATTTCCTCTCTCTTATCCAGGTGGTGAGTTACCTGGTCATAGAAGAAGATGAGATTGGTAAGACAAGACCTGCCTGCAATGAAGCCATGCTGGCTGTCATTCAGAATCTTACCTTCTGCAAGTGTATCACACATTGACTTGCTCTGCTGGACCTGGTCCTGGCCGCAGGCGACGACCTGGTAAGAGGCCTCCAGGTTCTTGACCACCTGGGCAATAGTGATCATCGCGTGCTGGAATTCACCATCCAGCGTAGAGTGTCAAGGGCCCGCAGCAAGGTGGTGGCCCTAGACTTCAGGAGGGCCAACTTCAGTGAGATGAGGAGATTAGTGGGAGAGGAACTGGGGTCCTTGAGGGCAGAGGAACTCAGCGTCCAAGAGGAGTGGTCGTTCCTTAAGGAAACGATACTCGGGGCCCAAGGGGTGTCCATCCCGACAAGAAGCAAGGCGGGCAGGAGTGTCCAAAAGCCCCCCTGGCTCACCAAGGGTGTCCGGGAATGCCTGCTTGCCAAAAGGGTGGCGTACGCCCGGTGGAAGGGGGGTGTAATCTCCAAAGAGGAGTATACCTCCTCTGCTCGGGCCTGCAGGCGGGCTGTTAGGAAGGCCAAGGCGGAGATAGAGCTCGGATTAGCGTCCAGGATTAAGGATAACAAAAAGTCCTTTTTCAAATATATTGGGAGGATGAAGAAGGCGCCGGGTAATGTGGGGCCCCTGCAGGATATGCGGGGCAATCTGGTGGTTGCGTCAGAGGATAAAGCGGACCTCTTTAACCAATTCTTCACCTCCGTTTTCTTGTGCAGGGACCGGGACTTCCCTGCTGTGATAGAAGCCGGACGCGAGGGGATCGCCTTCAGACCTCAGGTTGGGGAGGACCGGGTTAGAGAGCTTCTGGAGGGGCTGGACGCGTTCAAGTCAGCGGGTCCGGATGCTCTCCACCCCAGGGTGCTGAGGGAGCTGGCTGGGGTTATTGCAGGGCCCCTGGCACGGCTCTACGAGCGATCGTGGTGCTTGGGCCAGGTGCCAGACGATTGGAAGGTAGCTAATGTGGTCCCCATCTTCAAAAAAGGGAAAAGGGAGGACCCGGGCAATTATAGGCCCGTCAGTCTTACCTCAATCCTGGGGAAGCTCTTTGAGAAGATCATCAAGGAGCACATTTGTGATGGGCCGGCATCCGAGATGATGCTCAGGGGCAATCAGCATGGATTTATTAGGGGGAGATCATGTCAGACCAACCTGATTGCCTTTTATGATCAGGTCACAAAGGCCATGGACGCAGGTGTCGCGGTGGATGTAGTCTTTCTGGACTTCAGCAAGGCCTTTGACACCGTCTCTCACCCCATCCTAATTAATAAACTAGGCGACTGTGGCATAGATGCCTACACAGTCAGATGGATTGCAGATTGGCTGAAGGGTCGCACTCAGAGGGTGGTGGTGGATGGATCATACTCGACTTGGGGGGAGGTGGGTAGTGGAGTCCCCCAGGGCTCGGTCCTGGGGCCTGCGCTGTTCAATTTCTTCATCAGCGATCTTGATGTTGGGGTGGAAAGCAACCTGTTTAAATTCGCTGATGACACCAAAATTTGGGGGGAGGTGAGCACGCTAGCAGGGAGAGAGAGATTGCAGAAGGATCTGGATAGGTTACAGGGGTGGGCAAACAGGAACAGGATGTGTTTCAATACGGACAAGTGCAGGGTGCTGCACTTGGGTAGTAGGAACCAGCAGCACACTTATACGATGGGGAGCTCCCTACTTGAGAGCACGGAGGCGGAAAGGGATCTTGGTGTCATTATTGACTCCAAGATGAACATGGGCCGACAATGCGAGGTCATGGTTGGCAGGGCTAACCGGACCTTGTCGTGCATCCACAGGTGCATCTCGAGTAGAGCCAGGGAGGTGATCCTCCCCCTCTATGCGACGCTGGTCAGGCCGCAGCTGGAGTATTGTGTCCAGTTCTGTGCGCCCCATTTCAGGAGGGATGTGGACAACATGGAGAGGGTCCAGAGGAGGGCCACCCGCATGATCCGGGGACAACAGGGCAGACCCTACAGTGAGAGACTGCGGGACTTGAACCTATTCAGCCTCCACAAGAGAAGGCTGAGGGGGGACCTGGTGACCGTCTATAAACTCACTAGGGGGAACCAGAAGGGTTTGGGGGAGACGCTGTTTCCCCTAGCCCCCGCTGGCATAACAAGGAGTAATGGGCACAAGTTGATGGAGAGGAGGTACAGATTGGACATCCGAAAAAACTACTTCACAGTTAGGGCGGCTAGGAGCTGGAACCAACTTCCAAGGGAGGTGGTGCTGGCCCCTACCCTGGGGATCTTTAAGAAGAGGCTGGATACCTACCTGGCTGGACTCATTTGAGTCCCGTTTTTGTTTTTAGGGTTTGTTGTGTTTTTTTTGGGTTGTTCTCCCGCCCTGGCGGGGGGTCGGGCTAGAAGATCTATTAGGTCCCTTCCGACCCTGAAACTATGAAACTATGAAACTATAAGTTCATCTGGTCCTGCTGACTTATGTCTGACTTTTCTAACTGATCATGCACCAGCTCAGCATGAACAGTAGGAAAGCGGTCATTCCCACCATGCCCATTCTGAACCTTATCTAGTGTGACTTTCCCCTTAGTCCAGTAAAATGCCGAAGAAAAGTAGTCATTCAGGAGTTCAATTTTCTCCTGAGTGTCAGTAACCAGCTGTCCTGAGTTGTTAAGCAGTGGCCCCACACTTCCATTTGTTTATCTCCTGTCCCCTGCATACCTAAAGAAGGACTTCTTGTTGTCCTTGATTTCTGCAGCTAGCTTAAATTCAGTCTCTGCCTTAGTCTTTCTAATTTGCTCCCTACAAGTGCAGGCCATTTTTGTATAGTCTCCTTGGGGACTGTCCCAAGCTTCCATTGTTTGTATGCCTCTTTTTTCTTTTTCAAGAGAACCATGATATTCCTATTAAGCCAAGAGGGTTTACCAGCCCTTCTACTACCTTTCCTCTGCATGGAAATGGACTTCTTTTGTGCTTTGAGGATTGTGTCCTTGAGGAACGATCACTCTTCATGCAGCCCGGCCCAACTATAACATCAACACATGGCAGGTGAGATGACAAGGGAAACTCCCTGACAGGTCAGAATGGGCAAGGGAAGGGGAGGATCCAGGCAACTACTTGAGGGGTTGGGAAGGCACAGCCCCTTCCCATCTGGGCCTCAGCAGCTATAGAGGTCATTAACACTTCCTCAGTTTGCCTTGATCATTTTAAGCCTCAGTTCTTTTGGAGATACTATGTCTTGCTGTGCATATATATACAATATATAACACTATTCTGACCAACAGGGAATTGTCGTTTACCAAGTCCCAGAATACAGCACTCAGAATTCAGAACATCTGCTGAAATTAGTAGGTGACAGGTATAGAACTAACAAGGAAAAGTACTTTTTATGCAATGCAGAGTAAACTTGTGGAATCCATTGCCACAGGAGCTGGTGGAGGAAGATAGCATAGCCAGGTTCAAAAAGGGACTGGAGAAATTAATGGATGAAACATTAATGGCTATTAAACAGAATGACTGGGGATGTTTCCTTTGGCATCTCTAAACCAATAATTGTAGATGCCAGAGAAGATAATAGATAAGGGATAGATTGCCCCAGAGATATCCAGTTCAGTGCTTTCTCTCTATAGCATCCATTTCCGCCACTGTTGGAGACAGAATACTGGATTAGATATATCATTGTTCTGACCCAGTATGGCACTTCTTATGTTGATATGTTCTTAATAAGAGCTTTTGTAATTGGGCCCTGATCCTGAAGACACCATCCAAGCTTCAAGTTTTGTGAAAAAAAAACAGATCTGACTTCTTCTGTCTCCAGTACTAACCATAGAATGAGAAGCATGTGGAACACTTAGGTCAAAGCTGATTTATTATTATCTTACGTCTGTGTGGCTATGCTGCTATTATGTTTTTCATATCACAGTTGTTGCTCCTTGTCAGGTGTGAAATTAGGACTAGTCTATTTCTGGGTCTTTCTTTTATGGATTTGAACACACAGGATGGTGGAGCCCTGGCTTAACCTAGCCTTGCAGAGCCAGCCCAGTCCCTGAGTGTGCTCACCTCTGAATTATAATTAAATATATTTCAGAGAGTCACTTGGCTCTCATTTTTTTCTTTTGCAGCTAGGCAGCCCTCTGTCACCAATTACCTGGGGTCTACAGTTCTGCTTAAGGCTTTTTTGAGGGCCTCTTTCACATCTTTGTTGCGCAGGCTGTAAATAACAGGGTTCAAGAGAGGGTTTACCACTGTGTAGAACAAAGCAGCCACCTTGTCACCCTCAGGGGTGTGCTGGGAGCTGGGTCGCAAGTAAATGAAGAGATGGGAGCCATAAAAGAAGGTGACAGAGACCAGGTGGGCAGAGCAAGTGGAGAAGGCCTTGCGTCTCCCAGTAGCTGAGTGGATGCGCACGATGGCTGCCACAATGGCTGTGTAGGAACAGAGAACCAGGACAATTGCAGTCCCCACATTGCAGCCAACAATAGCAGCCAGAATGATCTCATAGACCCTGATATCATCACAGGCCAGTTTCATCAGTGGCAGGGCATCACAGAAGAAATGGTTGATGGTGTTGTCCCCACAAAAGCGCAGCCGGAACATGTTGCCAGTGTGTGCAATAGCATTGGCAAAGCCAACAGCATAGGAGCTGGCCACCAGCTGAATGCAGAGCTTCTTGGTCATGGCAGAGGAGTAAAGCAGCGGGTTGCAGATGGCCACATAGCGGTCATAAGCCATGGCCGCCAGCAGGAAGCACTCGGTATGGACCACAGCAGCAGAGAAGAAGTATTGGATGACACAGCCAGTGTAAGACATTATTTTGCTCTTGGAAATGCAGTCAGCCAGGATTCGGGGGGTGTAAACAGAGGAGTACCATGTGTCCAGAAAAGAGAGGCTGCCCACAAAGAAGTACATGGGTGTGTGCAGGCGCAAGTCCAGGCAGATCAAGGCTGTGAGGCCTAGGTTCCCCATCAGTGTCAGGATGTAGGAAAAGAGGAAGATGACAAAAAGGGTGACTTGCAGGTGTGGCTCTGTTGTGAAGCTCACAAAGACAAATTCTGTTACCAGGGTCTGATTTCTCCCCAATCCCATGGTCTTCATGAATACTGCCTAAAGGAACAGGAAAGTAGGAACACATTAGGAAATAAGCTGCTCCAGAAGTCAGTCAGTCATGATACCTGCATTTCTATTGCTAGGAAAGAACAGTGTAAGAAATACATCTTATTAGACACTCAGGGCCAAGAAGACACTAAGGACTGTTTCCCAAAAGTGTCAGGTAATTCAGATTTATGCAGCCAAATCCACAGTCAATGTAAATTAACATAATAGCTGACTATAGTGGATGGCAAGAGACCCAGAGCTGAGAGAGCTGTGTTCTATTGATGGCTCTTCCAGGGATTCACTGCATTATTTGGGAAAGTTATGAATTGATTACTCTGTTCTTGATTTTTCCTCCCTGTAAAAAGGGGTTATTAACACAGTCATTCCCTTCCCTGAATGCTAAGTTTAATGAGTTCCTGCAGCACAGTCTTCTAAAGGCTGTTAGGACCAGATTCTGTTCCACCTATTAGGCATCCAAATGGATTTAGGCACCCATGTGATTTTGTTCCTCCCTGTTGAAGTCCTGAAAGGGTTGAAGGTGGGGTAGAGATGCACCTTTATACCCTAAGTCAGTACATACACCTTTGTGAGACTGAGCTCACTTGAGACTTCCTCCCTCCTGCTTGCTGTCTCAGCAAGAAACTGGCAGGCATCTTGCAATCCTGCCTCTCCATGGAAAGTCCAGCTTTAAGTCATGACTGGAAAAAATCCTTTTTTTTCTACAAATACCTTCCAAAAAACAAGGCACTTGTTTTATTTGGGAGCACATGGTATGTGGGACAATATGGTAATACTGCATTAGAAGCTTCCTAGATTCTAGAAGCAAATTCCCCTCTCAGTGCACTGTTGTCTGCCCCACCAAAAAAAGAAAAGACAGGAAACATGAGCTACTAAGTGGAAAATATTGCTATATGTCTTACACTGCTTAAGATAGTCACATAGTTGCATGCCTTACCTTAAATCCTGCCAGAAGCCATTCTTCTGCAGTAGAATCATCATGCAAATTACCTATTGGACTGGGAATGATAAAATGATAAAATTATGCAAGTCTGGGAACTGGGTTTTCATAAAAAGAACAATGAAAGTAGGCAATTATCCTCCATCCCTCCTAATCTTACCTGTTTTGATAGCTTTCAACATTTCCTGTTCACCTGGTAAATACACCTTCCAGGAGAGACATGTCCTTCTGCCTGAGGCCAAGTTCTGCCACCCTAATGGTATATACTGCTTTACTTTGGGAATGGTCCTGTTTGACTCTTCGTAGTTACTTAAAGAACAAGGTCCTGTTCAAGGTCAGTAACAGTGATGGAATCTAGCTTTTACTTACGGTTTAGTTGGGCTATCCTTTGGTGTGTGTAACATCTCTGACTAAGGATAAGATAGCACAACAGTTTTCACACAAGATACCCCTGTTTTGGTTGCTGACAATTTGCTGAAAGTTTTAGCTTCTGAGCTGATATTTTCCAAGACTGATCTTCCCCAAGTGGTAAATTTTACAGAAAGGCTAAGTAGAAATGCTCGGTCATTTTGAATGGTGTCTGTCTGAGAAAAGAACAGTTTCTAAAACTGGACTTTATGGACTACAGAACCCATAGTGGATCAATCCTATAATACAAACTGCAAGTCTTTAAAAAAATATAACTTTGATGGACTAAAAAGTATTACAAGAAGTTATACCTGGATATATCCAAAATGGTCTTTGGATCTGTGGTGCAATCAGTACTATAGCCATAGGAAATTTAAAGACCAAATCATAATACTGGATTCACACCCAGAAAGGAAACCTGAATAAGACTCCGGGCTAATACACTTTGCATTCACTATCACTCTTTGAGAGATGAGTGATGTCTCTTTGGTATCTTATGTATTTTTGGCACAGAAGTAGCTGTAAATGATGATCAGAAATGTCATGTAACTATGACATTGTCTCACTAAGGAATGAAGTGCACCAAGAAGTTCAGGACCACTGATTAGATTCTTTACTCATAAAAGATCACTTGATTTGAGGAGGGAACATTAATCCCATCTCCCTTTCCTGACAGGTAACCAAAGCTTGGACTGTAACAAAGCACTATGTGGAGGCTGCACGGAGAGTCATGACCTACTGTTCATTAGAAGAGATCTGTTATGCCTTTGGCCCCTTGTTCATGATCTAGTGATTCAGTTGGGAGACCCCAGGGCACTCTTTGAACACAACTGGTAGAACCCTAGTGTCCCACCAAATACCTTTCTCTGAGTGAAACACCCATAATTTAGATATTTGGCTGTAACTATAGCCATTTCATGTGTACAAGGTGCCTACTTGGGAAGCTGGAATCTCCCCTGGCACCTGGCTTATGGCTGTAGACAGACCTGTGAAGCACTGAAAGAATCCCTGAATGCTCTTCCTTCACAGCTACTGCCTGGGTGAAGAAAGGAGTGGATTCAATCTAAGTAGGCTTTTGGAGTCCTAGGGATGAGAATCAGGTTTGGGGAAGGGAGCGAGGAAGGGGGATGGCCAATACCCTGCCCCCATCAACTCCTGAAGTCAGGAGTGAATGGGATCTCCTTGGCAAAGACATATTCTTACTGCAGCCCACAGCAGCCAAACTTACCTGGTGAAGAAAAAGTGTTTTTCCTGGCTGACTCCAAGGGGTCCCCATTTGGAGAGAGGCAATTTATGCTGGAGGTTCATGAACAGAAGAGACCCCAAAAGACCTCTGCTGTCATGATGTCTCAGGGAGGTCCTCGGGGAAACAATTAAAACAATGCTTTTTTATTGCTAAGGGCAGGTGGGAATACTGATGACACACTGATGCAATCTGTTATTGCCGCAGCTACCTGCTCTCAGTAGTTTGCATGCTAAAAGGGAAGTGGACACAGTCACTCTAATTTCCATCCTGCATGGAAATCATAGGTCCATCTCAATCTGCTGCATTGACATAATAGCAGTACCACAATCACCACCCCTGGATTGTCCCCTTCTTCGTGCTGCAATTCTGAGCCCTTGTTTTATTTTGGCTCATCTTCCTGTGAGCAGAGTAATGAGTGTTTGTCCTGAAGAGAGCTCAGCAGGTCACCAGCTTTCTCAACTCACCTTCCTCACTTTGTTCTTTTGGAGTCTCATTAAATGAATGAGACTTGCTTCACATCCAGGTTCAGAGAAATGTCTCTATTACTTTTTTTTCCCAATTTTCTTTGAGAGATTAATGACTGGAATAAGCAATCAATAGATGTGATGGATTCCATGTTCCTTTTAGACCTGTGGACTCTCTTCCAGGAGGTCATTAGTAGTGGAACCAGGTGTGGTTGAGTGGGGCTTTGGGTACTGATTTACAGGTGGCTCCAGACTTTCAACCCCATTGGGCAGCCCATGCCAACCTCCCCCTAGGCTGCCAAAATTCCTAGTTATACCTGTGGTCATTATAAAATTCTTTTTTTTTTTTGGCCTATGCTGGAAGGTACAATGATCTGCACTACTGAATTGTCACAGACTGAGAAAGATAATCTAATAATATACTGGGGATTGATTCCAAGATACCTGAAGGAAAGGAAAGAAAGCATAGAGTCAGTCTTCCAGTGGGAATGCTAATAATGATGAATTTGCAATTCAGTCTTGGAAATATTGGCAAGATTTGTTTTATAGTTTACTATTTTGGAAGGGTCTGCAGATTGATTATGCCTTTAGAAAAAGGATAGGCTAATTAGAAAGTGTGGATCATGTCATAATACAAGATTTAGTTTAAAGAAAAAAGAACAATTAAAAGAGACATAGACAAGAAAATTGAGTTGGACTCAATTTGTGCAGAACCCTCTTTTACAGATCCTTCTGTGTGCTATTTAATGAAATTCTGGGCTTGCTTGTGCAGGTAGAAATGATGTATGAATGAATGAATCTCTCCCAATGCCTCCAACTAAGTCCCCCAATAAATACCTCTGCAGAAAACAACCTGGAACTACTTGGATGTGACCCACAAAAAACAGTATCAGTATTAGTTGTACCCTTGTATTGAGGGCTCTAATAAAGAGGCTGCTGGTCTCTGCCCTCAAATAAGCTGTCTGAATGAGTAGCTGCACTGGGCTCTCCCATTCTCTAGCCCTGGCTGTAAACCTGTGGAAGATAAAATTACAAAGGGGTCTGATTTCCCACATCTCCTACTTCTATCTCAGAGTCTGAATTAGTATGAGAAGGGAGAAGGCATGTGAAAGGTTTGGCGATCAGTAGAGCTAGACAAAATGTATTCATGAAATAGTAGTAAACTGGTCTGCCATAAATGCAGTCTCTTGGGATTTAGAAGTTGTAGATGAATTCACAAGAGTTTCATGTAAAAAGTGGAGATAAATTATGGAAAGGTCAAAACAGCTTGTTTTGACATTTGCACGGGTGGAAATAGGAGTGGAAGGGAGTATCCATACCACGACAGGAGAAAGCTCATTCTCACTGTTATGGCAATAAGGCATGGTCACCCATTTCTGTTTTATATATTAATCCCAGAGAGATGAGTTGTATCTGGGACACCCCTAGCACCCTGCTGTCAAGGGGCCTAACAGGCAGCCCAGCCAGGATTAATGGCCTATTTGGCCAAACTGCCCAGAAGCTCTAAAGGAAGAAACAACCATTACATTTTGTTGCTATAAACAGTTTGATGGAATCACAAAGGCCTAGCAAGCAGACTTCCATGCCCCTTGTCACATCACAAATGCCCAAAATGTGTGGCTGGGACAAAGGTGGTAATAATTTGTACAGCTTTATTGTGGCAGGTGTCTATGTGCTTTGTGGTGGAAGAGTGCAGGCAACCTGGAGCTGTCAGCACTATCCAGCTGTCTTTGACAGGTGCCCTGAGACCTTGTAGGGGCCTGATCCTGCACAACCCAGGAATTCCTGTGAAGGATTGGGCCCTTCAAGTCCTGGAAACTCATGCTTGGCTTTTCCTACTTACAGAAATGCACCCCAGGGATTTCTGGTAAGTGGGGAAAGGATTTCCCCATTTCCAGAGATGTGCCCCAGAGAT